TTTTTTTTGAAAGAAAAAAAGAATGTGTAATATTGCGTTGTTTATTTTGCAAAGAAAACTTTTTTTCTTGCGCTCATACCGTCAGTTGAATTCCGGTGGCTGCGCCTTCAAATTAGTGATGGGTATTCAAAAAAAATACTTTCTCAATTTTTGAATTCGAATAATGAATGAATGGAAAAAAATGTGTGGCTTGGCTGCACTTCAGAAGAGCAAGTTGCAAAAGAGCCGGTGCACATGTAAGAGCGAGTATTATTAAATTAATGTATCACTATAAACTCGGATAAAGTAATATTTTGCGAATTGATTTATGTTTTTTTTTAGGCTTGCTCTTTTGGTATACTTGCTCTTTTTTTGTGGAATAACTACTGGCCTTCGCGTGATTGTGTTTACGGTATATGGACATTGCTTTCTATTTTGAAATGAGAAAGGGCGCCGCTCTCTTTTTAATTTTGTGTTTTGTTGCGAAACTTACGCACTTTTTTATGACCTCTAGTCAAAGTATTTTTTAATCATGATTCCGCGGAGAGATTTGGCGAAAAGGTGTGTGCAATGTGTCGCAGTTGTGTTTCAATATTATTTTACATTCCAAAGTTAGGGTTTCGTTTTAGGAACTGGTTCGATTCGTATATACCAGATGCGTTCTTTCGTTTCAACCTTTCTGTTCGGTGAATTTTCTGAGCTTAAGGGTTCGCGTACCAAATCTTTTTTGTTTGATTGAGGATGAATTTGAGCGGAAGATTTTTGCGTATGATGGAATTTCGGATTGGAACTGAATATTTTAGTATTGAGAGTTTGATCCGTGAACGAAGAATAAAAGGCTTCTTTGTTTCGTCTGTTTGGTTTTTTTTTCTTCTTGAGAATTGGTGTATATAACTGAAACTATTTTTCAGGGTTTACATTCTTTTCAATTCTTCTGTTAATGCCTTGGGTTAACTATGCCAATCGGATAACTGCTGCCGGAAATGTGCGATTCCGTATACTGTATACGCGCGAAGGGCGAAAAATGAATGAAAATGGTGAGGTCTTGTGCTCACATCTGACAAACCACACTGCAGAAATTCCTCGTGCTACATAGTATGAGATGGCAACAGCAGTGGGTCATTTTTGTGAACATAATAAATGATACGATAATAAATAGTAAATAAAAATGAATATAATTGCCTGTATTCTTGGTATGAGGCTATTTCAGACATTGTTCCTCAATATAATGCTACAGCTCTATAAATTACAGGACAGTATTGTCCACTGTAATCCAGCAACTGCATGCGGATGCATATATGTTCGCCCTATTCACAGTATTTGTTGAAAAATAAGATGGAAAAAAACGTTGTTTTCTTCCTATAATTACGGACTTCCGTTGAAAACTCTTCATGCTGATGGCTTATTAGCGACACCTGTATGATATTTATTAACGTTATACGACGAGGATGTGCTGGCATCTGCTGGTCGCGGTGCATGGCTATGCTCGGGAGAGGAGGACTTCCGTTGAAAACTCTTCATGCTGATGGCTTATTAGCGACACCTGTATGATATTTATTAACGTTATACGACGAGGATGTGCTGGCATCTGCTGGTCGCGGTGCATGGCTATGCTCGGGAGAGGGAGTCAGAGGAGAAATATGGCCGCCCCCCGTGGGCGGCGCCAGGCTAATTACACTCCGCGATTCGGCATAGACCCCCAGGTTTATCTCGGTATGCCTTAGAAAGGTACCGTTTTTTTTATAGACTATACTTCCCACCCATAAGTTTGTTTTAAGAGGATTTGGGCACAATTAATTAATTTTGTTCGCGCGTATCAAATAACGCGGGTTGCACGGTAAATATTATTTTCGAAGCAGAGAAATATGTCCCTGAATGAGGATTATAGATTCGCTAGTGTAATCTGTGCATCTCCAAACTTGCGAAAGCGTTATTCGGAATAGCGTTCACACGTTGCGTTTGATTCATGTTATGACTTCGTTTCGCGATTTAATTTTTCAACCGTAATAATTTATTATTTGGAGCATCGTTGTTTATAGCGACACCTGTAGGACAAGTTTTGAAGTGCGCCGAGGATTGTGCAGGCATCTACCGTGCCTGGTCGTGCGCTGCGCGGCAGAGCTGGGGGACAGAATTGAAGTGCGCCCTTTTAATAAACCGGATGGCTTGTAATGCAGCCGCAGCGGCCATCATGGTGACGTGCAATGGTCGGTCGGTGCGTTGGATAGTGAAAGCCACCAGTAATGGAATTGCGGACTCCGAAAGAAAGCGGATGTCGTGAAAGATTTTCTGTGATATTAATACCGGCTGAAGTGTTTTGAATCCAACGTGAGTGTTCTGATGTTACAGTGTGGAAAAGATGATTCCGCGACCGTCGGAAGCATCCTCGATGCTGTTTGTGTTGTCCACATCTTCAAGCGTTGAAAATTGGTATCACTCATGGAAATGCTTTATGGTGTTGTTTGAATGACTTGCAGGTTAAGGCTACGAAATTCTTCGTTTTCCTCTTTCTGCTAGTAGTCATGCGTTCGCCTCATATGAGGCTTTTTCAGATTTTTTGCTGGTGCGTAGTACACTTGTTGATATGCCTGTTGTTATTTTACAG